TAAAATTATTAAATATTTAAAAATTAGCTAATATTTATTTTTATAAAATTTAATTTAAAAATCTAAACATATAAATATTTTTTAAAAATCAATTTTACCATTGTGGAATCAAATTATCATATCCAACCCAATAATTTAAAATTTGAGAAATTTAAATTGACTTATCCAAACAAAATATTTTAAGAATGATAGAAACTGAAATCAAAGTAATTCAAATACCAAAAAATTAAAATTCTTTATCCAAACACACCATTAAAAAATTAAAACCAGAGCTTCAAATGAGAAGTCTTTTATATTAAAAATTGAGAAATTATAATGAGTCTTTATATTAAATTTAAAAAAAAAAAGACAAATTTTGATAACAACACATGTTTTTTTTACTAGAGTTTAAATTTCACTTTAATAATATATATTTATATTTAATACATATCTCAATAATACGTGTTTAAATATATTATTAAAATAAAACTTTAATTTTAATTAGATAACAATATTGTCTGTAGATTATAAAAAAAAATCAGGATTAATATTATATTTATGTTTTGTCCTTAATAAATTATAATAGGGATTAAAATTTATACATCTATAATGTATATAAAGTTAATTTTCTATTTTCATATATACATTATTTTTTATTATTTTAACCTTTTAAATAAAAATAAAAACTGTACAATTATAATTAATATAAATCACAAAAGTCTTTTGATATATAAGTTTTATTTTTAAAACAATTATTAAATAACAGTAATAGCACACTATTTCACTAATGTATATAAATTCAAGCATAGAGTGCTTTGTTACTCGCTAGTTTAATTATAATTCTTGTATGAGAACATTATTTTCTTTATCTCTATTATTTTTGTCATCACCACTAAACACTTTTTAATTAGATGACACTAAAAAACTTTTTTCTTAATTTTTTTCTAAATTTTAATAGAAATTATATTTATTTTGACTTAGTACTAATTAAAGGGTTGGTAGAGGAGAAAGTATACTAGTATAATAATATTAGAGTAAATGTTGTGTGAAAATTTTATATTTTCTTTTAATGTGAAGTCATTTAATCCAAAAGGTTTAAGTATGATAAATTTATTGATATTCATAATGAAGTATAGCACATATTATGATTTTTATTCCCATAAAAACATTATCATGTATAATAATTTATTAATTTTCAATAACTATCCTAAAAATTATTCCTAACAGTTTATGATTGATTGAAATATATAAAAATAAAAAAATTACATTGTCAATGCATAAAAAATTAAAGTCGTAAATATTTTATTAGGAATGTCATATTTCCATGTTTATTTAGAGTTTTGAAAAAATATTTTCGAATATAATTTATCCCAAAAAAAGCATGGTTACAACATGATTTACTTCATTTTGATTTCCAGAAGATGAAAAAGATGTATTCTCATGAGAATGTGAGAAATTATATTTTAACCCACTTTTTCAACTTATTTTTTAATCTAATTAATTTAAATTTTTAAAATATTCCCAACATAAAATCTCATCAAAAACATTTTTAAATATTCCCAAAAATAACATACCAATAATAACATTCCTAAGAATGTGATTCCTAAAAAAATTAGTAACATACCTTAAGTCAAACGCCCCTGTATTTTAGTGAATTTGATTGAAAAAATTTTCATTTTAAATATTATTTTACACACAATAGACAACCAATGTATTTATTTTGAAAACATTTGAGTTATTGTTTTACCCAAGAGGGTGAGATAAGAAAACCCTAGTAGTGGCTGTCCATGGATATCCGAACATAATATTGAACTATCAACAAAAAATTGAGTGTATTCAATTCATTTTAAATATATATACATTAATTTAACTTTATATTAAATAAATTTTAAATTTTGTAAAAATCTGTAATTAATAATTTATTTAAATTAATGATAAAATTATTGGAATTCAATATGTATATATATATATATATATGTGTGTGTGTGTGCGTGTTATTAAATGGAATAACTCTACTAAAAATTACTCTTAACTTTTAACTATTTTTACTGTGAAAAACTGGAAAATAAAATATATCTTCTCACAAAAGGCACTAAGCAATGAATATTGAACCATTAAATTCATTTTCAATATGACAACTGGACCCAGTCTTTGTCCCTATGTTTGAATATTGGACAATTTTTGTAGATAAAATGGAACTTTCAAAATTGCCACTTAGTTCCAATATCAGCATTAAATTCCACTCTATTATTTTAGCTGCTCCACAGGATAATGGCTTTCATTGCTTATTCTCAACCCATTTCTCAGGTCAAAATAATAAATAACCTCTACATCGAGTGTGGGGCGGCTAATGGGGTTAGTGAAGTTAGGTATCCACGTTGAAAACTATAAGGGGTGGTAAGCATGTCATGCATGCACCCATTCTTTTTGACCAAATAAAAAAAATGATTTTGAGTTATTAAAAAAAGGAACGCACCAAAAAGTCATAAAATAATTTAATTCAATGCCACTAAAAATTAGAAAATGATGAGACAACCAAAGTTAGGTTTGGCCTGCCACTTAGAAAATGAAATCTGCACCTCAAATGAATTCATTGTGCCAGTCTTGGTTATAAAACATCTGCACTAGAAAGAGAGCATGGTAAGCAAGGAACGAGTAAAAGCAAAAATTGGATGTTATTGAAAGCAGTTAGAGATTAATACTTTAGATTATGTTTTACCACTGAAAAAAAAAATCAATGATGGCACAAATATTGCACCAAAGTACTCACTATAAAGGGGGGGGTTGGTAATCACTTTTAAGGTCACAATTTTTAGTCTACCATGCATAAGAATCCAGAATGCACCATCCAATAACCCTTTTAGGATCCATTAACTATTTAACTTGAACATTCGCCTTATAATATCTTATATATAACATGTACCTGTATTTAGTTCAAAGGGTTGAGAAAGACTCAGGCAAAGGTCTTGGCTTCAACCTTCAAGACATATAGCATGTTTGATTTTGCGTCAGTTCTAGGAAAATCATGTTAAATTTTCTTGTTAACAGCAAAGCAACTTCATATAGCTTTCACTTTTCCATGTTTTTACACCCATGATATGTTTCCAACGAAACACTAAACAGACTAGTTATGTATAATTTATTGTGCACACACGTTGCTATGAGCAAAAAAGAGAAGAAACATAATGACCTTTCATTATCTTTTGGCAAATCTAGTTATGTTGGCTAGAATTGTTCTCAAGCTTCGGATTCCTGCTCCAGATTTCGAGCTTACCATCATCTGCAAGAGACACAATGCAAAACCCAAAGCTTAATTCCAACAATAATATCAGAATAAGTGGAAAATCAAATGGTATGAACAAATCTGCCAAAAGAATCTGTATACCAGAGGTTGAACTAAAGACTTGTTCTGCAAGAGGTTCTGTGGTCAAGTATGCAGAAACTTGTTAATCTCCAAAATAGAACTTTAGTTTACAGATAAAAGATTAATTTGGATGGCTAGTATTTACCTCTTCAATTTGCATGGCACGTCGTGCCACATCAATTGGAAAGACCACATCTGTCTTAGTCAATACTATCTGATATTTAGTTCTTGATCTGCAAATTGATACCACTTGTCAAAAAAAACTTAGTATATGACATACCCCATTTTGAGTTTATATGATCAGAATATAAGTCACACTTATTTGGAACTTGCCCAAGGATATAAGAAATAGGAAATAAAGAACAAAGGTGCGTGACACCAATTGCCAAAAGAAATCACAACACTGCACAGAACCAGTTTCCCATGTATAGTGTACCTTTCCATTAATTCAATTAGTTCATGATCTCTTGGTTTCATACCCCATTTTGTATCAATCAGAAGGCATACTCGTCTGAGACCAACTCTTGTGGACACATACTCCTTCACCTACAATCAGAGGTTTTTCAGAAACACAATTGACCGGTGCTGCATATAATAAGGCAAAAATCCAATCCATGAACATTTCTACAACAAAATATGAGGAAAATGGAAAATGCCAACACATATGACCCCATATACCATCCCAGAGTGAAGACAGAAGATAAACAAAATAATACAAAACTTATAGCTCAATTAACAACCAAGTCAAGCTAGCTTCCACTAAATCAATCAGTTGACAATAGGCAATAATAATAAAGTTTTTAATATATTCTTGATTAGCCAAGCAATGATAGGTTTTCTATTTCCGAGATGATAAGGAAAATAGGCAAAAACAGAAGAAATAAGAAAAGAAGGGTTCTTGTTATCAACATGAATAGAAAAGAAACTAAAGAGACAGATCCTCTTACAAGGGACGTCTCCTTTTTCACTGGGAATGATCAGTTTGTAATATTTTCTCCAGGGTAACTTTCTTTAACAACTCTTGTAAGAGTTATAGGAAGTTAATGAGATGGTCACAACTTGTAAGCAAGTCATTAACCTCCTATAACTCCAAGTAAAATCAATGGAAACTGACTCATTAAACAACTAACAAAAACTCCTGTAACTTACTCATGAGTCATGATACATTAACTACATATTATTACTGTTTATTCCTCCCAATATAAACCCTCAAACCTTATTGGCTTACTTTCCTCATTAATTATCGACATGGACTCATGAATAACTGAACCCTTTATCACCCACTTCCGTATAAAAATTTTTGAAGTTATTTTTCTTATTTGGTGGACGAGCGAAAGAAATCTTAGATTTTAGTATCTAACATGATTTCTGTATAAAACTTTGAACTGTGAATCTTTGAAATCTAAGATCAACACCAAACCAAGTTTTAAAGACTTGGTCAGCGCTAAATATCACCATGTTTTGATCTTTCATTAAAGAGAATTGTTTTTCCTCCAAACTTCTTGTAATTTCTTTTGTCTTAGTGAAATTCATAATTTATCACAAAAAAAAAATTAGTTAACATGATTTCAGTCATCCTCGAGGCTCCTTTTAAACACAAAACAGGAAGCTGCATACCACCACAAAAAAATTGAATTCCAGGAGACAACCCAATTAGTTTAGTGCACTCAAAATCAGTTAACACAGTTATTTTCATCTTGACAGGTTAATAAAACAGTCCCAGAACTGAATCAAAGTCCCTCAGGCCCCTGGGGCCTCTTTCTTGCTCTACTAGTACAATTTAGCATAAGTGCCAAGTGATGTCTTAATCCGACAAACTAATGATTACACTACTCATAACCTTGAAGCATGGGGAAGACTAACTTCTATGTTACGACATGATAATACTTCAGAGGCTAAACCAAACTTTTAAGTACAACTTGACCAACGAGAGATTGAATATAATTTGTATACTTACAAGCTCCTCCCAAGATTCTTTCACTTCTTCTTTTGCATATGCAAATCCATATCCTGGCAAATCAACTAAGCAAACCTTTGTTCCCAGCTTAAAGAAGTTAATTGTCTGCAGAATATTCATTATTTGTTACAAAATAACATTTCATCTATCAAAACTTTATGTTTCAAGTATCTACATGTGCCAACTTTTAAGACTTAGGATACCTGTGTAAGGCCAGGCTTGTCTGATGTCCGCACAACCCCCCATTGTCTAGTGAGTGCATTAAGAAGAGATGACTTCCCGACATTTGACCTTCCTGATAACCAGAACACGACCAGAAATATCATTCCACTTGTTTCTCTTAGCAAGTACATTAATATCTACCTTGGTTCTACTTTCTACACAGATTTTGTTGACTTGATTATCTGAAGTCTAAACCCTTAAGTTAGATAATGATGAAAACAAACCCAAACCTTTCTGCCAAAATTTTTACTGAATTCCTATCAATCCTTAAAAATTACTCTGTGGGTTCAGTTTATAGCCCTAAAATATGCCCTCATAAGGAAGTGAAATACAAAATATCCAGTATCACAATGACTTGACTACAGTTCAACAATCTCTTATTACAACAAAAGCAACAACAAAAAGGGCAGCTTAGTATATGAGGTTACCACCATTATGGCTACCAACAATACAATAACGTAACATAATTAAGTAATCAACGTAAAGCAAGAAAACAAAGGGCCAAAGAAATAGAGGGTAAATGGTGGTGCCTTAAAACCATACCAGCAAATGCAATCTCTGGAAGATCAGGAGGCGGAAACGATGATGAGACCTTTGCAGCAGCAAAAAAATCCAATTTATTCCTAAAAATCTGTCACAGTTAATCAGAACAAAATGACAAGATTAACAAAGGAAAAGCGAAAATAATTGAACTGAATAGCAATGCTTATCTGATAAGCATAAATTATTGTTTGTTATTGCACTAAACAAGCACATACATTTTCTTCAATTCTCTCTCTTTCTGTACTGCGAGAGAAGGGAATATTATCTAAGGGTGCAGAAAGATCTATATTGTAGCCTGCCCTTCTTAAGTCAATCGGGCGTCTCTTGCCCAAAAGCTGAAAATAATAACCATAGTACAAGAAATCAAGATTCCGCCACAGTAACAATGGAACAACACAATCAAACAAAAATAAAAAGTCCTTGCTCATACAAATTACATTTTTCTCCACAAAGGAAAGTATTGAAGGGTTAGGTTGTATAGCACGGAACTGCGCATTCTTGGACATTGTAGGCTCTTTATCAGACTCATTTTCCTTCTCCTTCTCCTTCTCTTTACTTCCTGAAATTAACTTAGGGAATCAGAGGGGAGAAGTTCTCTAGGTACTCCCATGAACAGTAAAAAGCATCACAGTCAAGATAAACAACAAGCATTTGGTGTGTCACAAACAAACAGTACAGACAATCAGCATTTGAACTTTAAACAGATAACTTAAATGTTCCCTTGAATGAACAGCTCCACTTCTTGTGCATGATTTTTATTAACTTCTAAATAGAAAATACAGACAATACACAGCATATGTGGCCTCAACCTTCAACCTCTTCCAATAATTTATACAATCAGTTCATTGGAGCCACAAATCCCAAAAGTAGTGTTTGTGGATTTTGTGTAAGTATGGAAATTTAATTTAGATGAATATACAATAAACTCTCAACAGAAAAATGTTAGATTAGATGCATACAGGAGTATAAAATCAAGACTGAGACTGCAGAAAAATTTAAAATTGTTCCAGTGGAATTCTATCTTACTGTTTGTGCTTACAAGAAAGGCAAAAAGGTAGTATAAATAACATAGACCTTCATACCTTACAGACCAAAATGAATTTTATTTCCCCATAATTTGTTTGTACGACTTATGTCATTAGCCCATTTTCATAAATACATATTGCACCTAGCAGCATCAGAAGTATAACACAAAATCAAATTTTCATAGTTGTTTCTCTCTTCATTAAACAAATGCAAGCCATTGTATTAGTACAACTATAAAACTCACTTACAGCTACCATCATTTGCATAACTTAAACATCGTAGATAAGGGGGTACAATTACTAGTACTATTTTATTATTCAGAATTAAAGCATATATTAACTACAATTTATTAAAACATACAAATCACAATCATTATCAAAATTCTTCCCATCAAAAGTATGATTTCATAATACATTTTATAAAGTTCCTAAGCCAAATACTAGCATAAAGACAAATAAAGAAAAACCATCAACCAGCACCTATGAATATGATTATGCAAATAGAGGAAGATAAACTACCTACCATCAATACCAATGCCATCATCTAGTCTCTTGTTTGAGATATCATACGGGTCAAGCTTTATCACCCTTTTCTTCTTCTTTGGGCGATCATTCCGCGTCTCAGCATCATCATCATCCAACCATGCTTTGTCTCTGGGTTTTTTCCTGGCAAAAGATGATGAAGGAGACGCAACTTCTTGGGTTTTCCCTTTGCTCAATTCAGATTTCTTTTCCCTAATTCTCTTCACTAAACCACTTCCTTGATCATCTGCCCCAACAAATCCCATTTTACCCACCTCCTTTGCCTTGCCTTTGTGTTTAGCAGTATCTAACACTACATCTTCCTTCCCTTCCTTCCCCGTGTGATTCAATCGCTTCCCTCTCGACCCGGCATTCCTTGATTTACCAGGAACCCACATTGTCCGGTGGCCGGTGTTCCCTTCAACAGGATCATTTTTCACTTGCTTCTCACCTCTCTTAAACATAGTTTTCTTCTTATTAGATGTTGCCACACCATTCTCTAACCTCCCAATTCTATCCCTTCCCTCCTTAGCATATACCCTCTTCTTCTTCCCACTAGAATCCAAATTCCTCAACTTTCCTCTCTCATCAACTTCCTCACCCAATTGCATCCCCTTAAACTTCACCCTTCTCTTCAACTTCCCCTCAGACTCATTTCCTCTATCAAAAACCCCACTTTTCTCGAAAGAAAATTCATCCTTCTTAGTTCTTCTCGTAGAGTTCCTAGAAGTCCTTACAACAAATTTAGTCTTCTTTTTTAGTTTCTCCCTTAAACTAGCTTCCGAAGGCATTTTGAACGATGCTAGACTAGCTTGTACTTTTCCAAACAAACACAAAAATCAACACCCCACATGAAAGGAAGGTTTAGAAGGGGAAAGAGAAACCTAACCTCGTCATGGAGAGTTCGAAAGCTGAGAACTTTGGGTGAACATTTGAGAGATGAGCTTGCAACGTTGTGGTGAAAGGAGGCGGTGATCATGGGACATTGAAGGAGGCATTGTAATGTTGGGTTGGGTTGAGAATGTCAAATGTCATGGGCCTTTATTGGGCCTTCTTATACATCTCATCTTTAAGAGAAAAATTTGTAATTATATAAAAAAAAAACTACAATACTCTTTTTTCAAGTAAAGAATACATATAATCGTGATTTATCTTCATCCAATAATTTATTAATAAATTAAAAGATTTAAAATAATTATTTTCGCGTATTAATTTTTTTATCACTTAATTATATTTTATTTTTTTTAATCATGTAAATTAGCTGCTAACTATATGTACTTTTGCATGTTTATTGTCACGTAGTAAATTAGCTGCTAATTAATAATATCGGTTAATAAAACAAAGTTAAAAAAACAAATATATATATATATATATATATATATAGAGAGAGAGGGAGGGAGAGAGGAATAGACTATTAACAATGCGAAAGGTTAATAAACAATCACCTAAATTAGCTGCTAACAATTTTATTAATCATGTAGGAATTCATAAGAACGGTATTGGTATGTTTGTTTCATGATGAATGTATCATATGTGGGTAACAAACAATGTGATATTGTGCCAAATATATACAGAATTTTTAAAAGATATCCATGTGCACATAATTGTTAACTCTATATGGAAGTGTTACTATCTCTAGAAAAAGAAAATTAAAAGTATATTTGAGAAGGGTGCACGGATGATAAACAAATCACGTGAATTTATATTAAATATGTGACACCCTCAACCCCATTATTAATATACAACAAATGTAACAATAAAATATTTCTTTTCTTCTTTTTGGGTAAATAAAATCTTTCATAATTGACAAATATTTCAAATATCACAAGGTAGAAGATTCACATTCGTAACTCATAAATCATAACTCCAGTATAGAAATTATAAAAGAAAAGAAGTTAAGATTTTCAATACAATTTAGTGAAAAACAAGAAATCATATATATACAAATAATAATAAAGAAAATATAAATTAACTCCAGTAAAAGTGGCAGTGCCTCCTGGTTAGGGATTAATTTATACTCCCAAATCATATAATAATAAATATAACAAAGATGTACATTTTGGTCTTTTCTCAAGAACGTTCAAAATTACATAAGAAGAAAAAATTAAAGCTTTTAAAACAATAACATCCCTAAAAAAAAACTAGCCTAGCTATGCCCGATGTCACATCCTATCAGAGCATGCCCCACTAAAGCCTTAAGCCTCATCACCAACATCCCCATGATGCTGATCATCTGCAACACAATTTAAAACATATACAAAAACAACAAGGGAGTGAGAAACATCTCACTCAGTTTCAGGTGCAGAAATAACTGTTAGATAGCACACACACACACAACATATATAAGTCACATGTAAACAATACATAAATAGTCAATATCACATATATATACTCATTTATCATGCTTATGATGTCATGGACTCAACTCATAAATGCATGCATGTGGCGCCATACGGAAGATTCACAATTCATCGTTGGTGACCCTAAGGTACACCTGGTTACATCACTGGTGACCCTAAGGTACACCTTGTTAGCATGTTACATCGTGGGTGACCCTAAGGTACACCTTGTTAGTCGTGGGTGACCATAAGGTACACCTTGTTAGCATGTTACATCGTGGGTGACCATAAGGTACACCTTGTTAGTCGTGGGTATGCGGCCTCAGCGGCACACCTGGAGTAATATATGCATATGATGCATGTCATACATTTATAATCTCATTGACTCAACATTTAACTTATTACATAATTTCATTTAGTACATCATGTCATTATTTGTCATAGTATCATAATCATAGTTTGTCTCAATAGTCCATTCTTAGGTCTCATGTCATTTGTCCATATTTCACATGGTCATGTCATCAATACTCCTCATAAGGTCCGCATAGGTATTCACAGAGAGCATTCTTATTCATATTAAAACTCATTTATTATTAACATTAATTTCATACTCATTTATTACTTTCAACAAAGAACAAATAGAATAAATAGAAAATCGGACAGAACAACGGCACCTTCAACAAAAACAAAGTAGAGTAAATAGAAAATCAAACAGAACAACGACACCTTCAACAAAGAACAAAGTAAAGTAAGTAGAAAATCAAACAGAACAACGGCAAGAGATTGGGATTACATAATCATTTATTATTTCCAACAAGAAATAAAGTAGAGCAAACAGAAAATAAGACAGCACAACGGCAAGGGATTGGAGGCCAATCCGACAAACAAACTATCCAACAATTATCTCTACACCCCTGAGCGAGGTTTCTCAGTCCCCCCTTACCTGGATAAGCAAGAGTTGAAACTTGGGCAGGACCTCCTCCTCTAAATTCCCTCTTTTCTTTTCCTTCTCTCTCTCTTTCTTTCTTTCTTTCTCTCTCTCTCTCTCTCTCTCTCTCTTCTCTTTCTCTCTCTAGGATTTCACTTTCTTACTCTGTATAAAATTTTCACTCCCTTGACCCTATTTATAGGCAACCTGGAGTACCCGGAACGGCCCGTATTGAATTCGGAACGGCCCATTCCGGATCCTTCGAATCTGTGCAAATTTTTGAACTGGAACGGCCCGTTCTAAAGTCGGAACGGCCCGTTCCTAAAAATCAAAACGGCCCGTTCTAAAACCAGAACGGCCCGTTCTCAATCTCAGAAGAACGGCCCGTTCTCCCTCTGGAACGGCCCGTTCTCCTTGTTGGAACGGCCCGTTCTGGGCCCGTTCCCAACCTAAAATTTTAACTTATTTTTAATGCTCAGAACGGCCCGTTCCACTTTCGGAACAGCCCGTTCCGAGTTACTCAAATACCCCTAATACCTTTATAAAATTACGAAAATATCCTCAGCAATTACAGAAATGTCATTACTAATAAAAATATCCTTTTAAAGAAATTAGGGTGTTACAAAATACATAAAAAACTTTTAAAAGATATTAAAGTGATTTTGGTTTTTTTTAAGAAAAAAATGACAACAATAGAAAAATCATTTAAGAACAAAACAAATAAGGGAAAAAAGTGGTACCAAGAAGAAAAGAAAGTATCACACGCAACACCTCCAACCTAAAACATTAGAAGGTGATAAAGACTTTATGCATGAATTTTTGTTTATAAATTCAGAAGTTCATCCCTTCTCATTTCATGTTAAACTATCTTTCTCATTTCATTTTAAACTCATCTTTCTCATTTTCGCAATCTCAAACTGAGATATGATCATGAAATTCTTTCATTTCTTTCATTTTTTTTATTTGAATTTGCTTACATGGTAGAAATTTTTGATATTGGGAAGCTGTGGCAGAAACAAACGATACGTCCTCCAAATATCATCTAAGTTCACAACACATGATCTATGACTATTTAACAACTCCAAGGCAGGTTCACCTTATTGTGTTCCAGTATCATTTGATTCAAACGGGTAAATTTTTTATTTCTTAATCAATAATTTTTTTATATAATATTAAAAAATGATTTTTGTAGTTGTTCATTATTCTAGATTAAAAATGGTCTAGTGTTGAAATAAAATTATGTTTGTACACAAGCACAATCGCCCACTTCAACATTTAGACATGTCTTTGATTTATGAATTAAGAGATTGTTTACTTTATAATCTTATTTCAACTGGATCTTATGCTTGGTAAAATAAATAATTAAACAACAATTTTTTTAATATTATATCATAAAATTATTGATTAAGAAATTAAAAAAAAAAAAAAACTGTTTAAATCAAATGTACTTGGAGTGCAACATAAGATGTATCTGCCTTAGAGTTATTAGATGGTCATAAACCATGTACGGTGAACCTGGATGATATATAGAGTAGATCATTTGTTCTTGTAAAAGTATGGTGGCTAAGTCTTTGCCACATTCCAGAGATCAAAATATCCTACAATGGAAGCAGGTTCAATTAAGAAAAAAAAAATGAAAAGATGAGGGAATCTCATCATCATCAAGTCTTAGTTTGGTATTGTGAAAATGAGAAAAGATGAACTTCTCGATTTATAATTGAAACTCATGTATGACACCAAGTTTAATGTTTAGAGGATGAAACTATGTTTGTTGTGTATGATACTTTTTGTTATTTTGTTCTCTCTTTACATAATTTTCAAATTCTTGTCATTTTAAAAAAAATACTTTAATGCAAATTGTTTACCATACTATAATCTTTGTTAAATATAACTTATTACTTTCATTTTGAGATGCTAACTCTTCTATATGAAATTAAAACTTTTATAGGCATTATTATATTTTAAAAGTTCTCAAAGTATTTGGCATACTTTCGCATGGCTTGTTTACCATACATTCGTACTTTCACATGGCTTGTTTAATTACTACTAAAGTTTTCAAATTTTATTGTTTATCAATTTTATTAAAAAATCGACATAATGACAATAGATTCTAAATTTTGACTTGGATTTTTGGAATGTCATAGTTGCACTGCTTCCATAAGATTTTAAAATATATATATATTAATTTAATAAAATAATAATTGGTAACTAGTTGCTTAGAATAATATATGAATGAATTTTCTTAACTAGATAGACTTAACACTAACCATTTAATTGATTAATATATTAATAGTTAAATTATATTTCTATTCTTTTATATGATATCAAATTTATAATTTTAGGTTTCTAATTTTTTAAAATCTATAATTTTAACCTACTTGTCAAATGTTCATTTATTAATTGTTAAAATTGTAATATTAATTATGATATGATATTAAGTAAACGAAGTCAGAAATAAATTTAATAACATGTAAGTTAAATTTTACTTTTATTTTTTTAACTCAAAATAATAATAAAATAAGATAAAAATGATAATTAAAAATGTAATTTAACTAATTATTAATAATCATGTTATCTATCTAATGTTATATCATCACTAATATTATAATTTTAACAATAAATAAATGAACATCTAGCGAAGAGACAAAAATTATGAATTTTATAAAATTGAAGAAATAAAATTGTAGAAATAAAAATTATGGGACCAAAAATGCATATATGATATTATAAAAATATCAAAAGGGAAATTTAGTTTATATTAATCTTTTCATTTATGTTCAATTTTGAATAAAATCAATATCAAATTATAAGAATATAATTAAAAATAAGATAAAACTTAAATACACTTTCTTAAACGTACGTTCTAACGTGATTGATGTTGTTGTTTAACGTGATTAACATCAACAATATACATTTACATTTAACATAAATTTTATTAATATACATTTATACATATTGTAGAGATTTAACTTCAATTCTAATGGGAGAATACCATCTACTATACTTAAAGGAATTGTATTTAAGTTGTCTTTAAAAATACTATTACATGTGTTCTTCTTTGTTAATAGTCATTGTTATACACAAATCAATAAACACAATATTTTTTTTTTTTTACCATACAATGATTATAATATTTTTGATGAAGCCCTCTTTCATTTTATTTTGATAAGCGTAAATTAATTAATAGTTAGATAAAATATATAGAAATAATAAATAAAATAGTAATTAGTATAGTCTTAAACTTAAAAAAAAGACATATAAATAGAAATATAATTTTCCTAAAAAAAAGAGAGAACAAAAGTAGTAATCAGTATAAATAAATAATTTGGAGCCAAAAACTAGGTACATAAATCTCCATAACAAAAATCAGTAAAGACATTTCACAGCAAACAAATAAAACTCTATTAATGCAAAATGCAGGAAAAAAAAAGCAGAAACACACTAATATGCAAAACAAAACTACTAAACATGCTTCTGTAAGTTCCTCACCCATCATGTAAAAGTACAAGTACAAGGTTCAAATTGTGGACAATGCTTCACTTCACTTTCACTTACAATATTCAATATACACAAATGTTTTTGTAAGAACAAGGAGCAAATTCAATTCCCAGCAACAACATACCCTATCCCTCCCTCTCTCTCACTGCCCCCAAAATTAAATAAATAATAATAATACACAATTCTCTTTTATTCACCAATATACAAAAAAAATCATAAAATAATACATAACCACTACCTTCCAAGTTCCATGTTGTTATAATAGCAGTTGTCCACCATGAGACGACGTCGTCGCACCGCCAACCAACAAAGGCTTCAGCCTCTCCTCCCACACAGCCCTCAACTCCAGGGCGTCGCCGCCCCTCCTCCGGACCTCCACCACCGTGAGCTCCGGCGTGAGGCGGTAAACCTCCACCCCGATCCCGAACCTCCCGTTGAGCCCTTCCAACTCGACCCCACACTCCTTCTTCCAGCGCACCGCCATCCCCGCGGCGGCCCCGGCGTCCTCCGCGGCGGCCAGAACCCTCTCCGGCGACTCAGGCGTCACGAGCCGCTCCCCCTCGACCGAGGCGCCGAACAAACCGGACAAATCCAAACCGGAAGAGAAACAAATGATGTCAAAGGCGTTCAAATCGAGCACCCTCTCGTCCTTGGGCCCGAACCGGACCGAACCGGGTTGGTAATCCTCCTCGTGAAATTTGATCTCTTTGTAACCCTTCTTGAACCACGGGTCACGGGTCATGCCATCCACGGTGATCCTCGTTTCCGGGTTGGTGTCCAGCAACTTCGCCAAAAACCGCCGCAGCTCCGGCGACATCCACCGCGGACACCGGAACTCGCCCTTGTAGATTTTCTTATACATTACCATCAAATTCGGGTCGTTGAAAGGTAGGTAACCCGCTGCCAGAACGAACAAAACCACCCCGCATGACCATACATCAACCTTGGCACCATCGTAACCTGAAAACATGCAATTTCTTCAAAAATTAACAATTTTTTCATCTAAAATGTAGTATTTGATCTGAAGAAAATTAAATTGTATAAATCTAAATCCCAATTTTGTGAGTGTAGCAATTTTGTCTGCAATTTGCTATAGTGACAAAATAAGGATCCGAATTTAAAACTTTAGTATATGAATGTGACATTATGAAAGGTAACCTTTTTTGGCCAAAATCTCGGGTGCCACGTAAGCAGGGGTGCCGCAAAGAGTGTGGAGCAGTCCATCGGGTCGGATCTGATCCCTGACGGCACTCAAGCCGAAATCGGAGACCCGGAGATCCCCATTCTCGTCGAGGAGTAAATTTTCGGGCTTGAGGTCACGGTGGAAACCGCCGCGGGAGTGGCAGTAGCCGACGGCGGAGATGAGCTGGTGGAAGTACCTGCGGCTGAGATCCTCGGAGAATCTGCCCTTGGATATTTTGGCGAAGAGTTCCCCTCCGCGAACGAAGTCCATGATGAAGTAGATTTTGGACTTGGTGGCCAGCACCTCGTGGAGGCGCACGATGTTCGGGTGGTGGAGCCTGCTCATGATCGCGATCTCGCGCTTCACGTTCCCGGCCAGGCCCGTTCCGGCCAGCTTCTTCTTGTTTATGATCTTAACGGCCACGCTGTGCCCCGTTTGCACGTTGCGGGCGTAGTGCACCTTCGCGAACGCGCCGCACCCCAGCATGCGCCCGAGCTCGTATTTCCCGAACAGCGCGCCGTTCTCCGCCGCCTGTGCCGCCGTGGCCTCGATCTCCGGCATGGTTGCGCAGGCGATGCCAGAGACCGAATGAACGTACACTAGAGCCCAAACTGAATGGTGGGTTATGCGATTGGAGGGGCCAATTGAAATGGGTCGCTTGCAGAATTCGATTTTTTCTTTTTTCGGGGGGAAATGAGGTTGTGTTGCTGAGTTTTTTTTTTCTTTTTTTTTTTCGGTTCTTTGGGGGAAATGTGGGGGTTTTGGTTTTTGGTTTGTTGGGCACGACGGGTTGGGAGGGAAGACAGAGGATTGTGAGGTGGTGTGGGACCCACGTCACACGTCACACGTCACACGTCACACGTCGCACGTGCGTGGAGATGGAGTTGATTTTGTCTTTGAATTTTGACACGTGTCGATGCTTATGCTTACGTTTTGGTGCATGAAAACGAGAATGGACGGTGCTTTCTTCGCTGTTTATTTCTTGTGTTTCGAATGCGTTTATGCGTTTAATTTTCGGCAATCATTGGTCGTTGGTCGGTTGTACAATGGACTAATCAGAATTATGAACACATGTAATTGAGATGGGTGTAATGCTATTCATATTACATCGTTAGGGTTTGAAATCTTCTTGTATGTACTTTGAACATTAGTTTCAAGATATTTTTTTTATCTAACTTGTGATTAAAAAAATATTATTTTCATTCTTATATATATATATATAAGACTGTCTCCTATGATAACAATCTTTTATAATTATCATATACGTTAAACTATATCTTATTTAAAATATTTTTATTTAATTAAAAATTCTTTTAAATAAAAAACAATAAAATTTTGAAATTAATTAGATAAAAACTCTCTTTCATTAAAATTGGAGAAACTAAATAGATACATAATATCTCTCTTTCAAATATTAATTAATTAAGTAAAAAATAATTAAATAAAAAAACATTAATTTAAGATACGTTAAGAGTAATTTTGAAAAAAATAGTTTAAATTATTGATAAATTGAATGCTCTTAATTAAATTAATTAATTTTTTAATGAATATAATTAAATTAGTTAATTATTTTGGGAAAATTGTGCTTAAATTGATCTTCTATTTTGGGAATGAAATTTGTTTATATCATCAACCCTCTGTTACTTAAAACTTATTATGGTTTCTAAATCAATTCAAGCTTGATAACAAATAAAATATTATATTTGTTTATATAATTATGACTTTTATACACAATTAGCACAATCAAAATAAGGTGGTCGATAATGTTGACAATGTAATGAATTGTGTTTTGAAGGCGCAGGTAGGTCAATAATGCAAATGAAGCCTGAAAAATTCCAAACCACAACTGAGAGCAAAGTGGGTTTTGGAATATATTGTCGGAAAATTGAGAAACATGCTTCATGAAGGCTAATGATGTGATAACAATATTTGAAAGGGCATAGAAACAATGGTTTGCACTATGCACAAATAGTACATAATTTGGATTATTAATTTCCAGTATTAACTTTTTCCATCACTTGTCTTCTTTTAAAGCATGATTTTAGCTTTGATTGTCTTTTCCCGCCTTTGCTTTTCTGGACAAAATCTATCTTGTTTACTGTTTGACATTTTAATATTAATTTTTAATTACAATGAGTTTAGATGTATATTTTTAATCATATTTGATAATTTGAAAGTGATTTTATTTAACTTTAAAACAAATGATCCTAACTTAATTAATTAAATAATGTGTGTAAATTGATGTAACATTCTTGATATTGAATTAAATTTCTATAAATAAAGTAAACAAATAAATGATAATTTAGTAATTAGGATTTGTCACTATATATTAGATAAATAAATAGTGAGCTATTAATTATAGGAGTTAAAATAATATGTATAAAGTTGTTTTAAGTTCAAATTTTGTTGTCACCAATAGAGTATATAGTGCATTGAATATCACTTTGATACGAAGAATGTATTCAAAAATTTCTTTCTTCATGTTTAGTAATTATGTGTGAAGCATTCTTGCACCCACATGTGTATATTTGCATTGAAATGATTGTGCAACTTGTCCTAAGTGAAGGCAACCACAACAAGAGAAGCAAATCTCTTGATGTTCCTATTGAAGATAGAAAGGATTAACATTCACGACATTACGATCTTCTTCATCGATTAGAAATCGCAATAGCATTTATGGATTTACAATAAATCAATAAAGTTGATGACCTTTGATGATTGATTCGATTTGTTGTTTCCATAAGAGAAACTTGTTCTCTGTGAGATTTTCTGAGATCAAAGCGAAAACATAGTAAGCGTGAAAAAAGAAGAATTGATTGGTGAGTGAGGGTAAGTAAAATTTGGTTCCACCATAATTGATGATATCAACCAACTTTGTATACCATATTAGAAATTAGAGAGAGAGGGAGAGTTTGTAAAAGAAAGTGATATATTTTTTATTTAAATGTTTAATACTTGATAAAAAAATATTTATAGAAAAGATTATTATATAATTCAGTTATAACTGAATTCTAACATAATCATAAAAGAAAAGAAAAAAGATACAATACATTAGACTCTATAACAAGAGCCTACAACTATGCTTTGTAAAAAAAATAGAGAGAATTATATACATCATAGACTAAGTATTCTAACAAATATTGAATAAGAAAAATATTAATTTATTTAAATATTTATAAAATTTATTAACAAATATCCTTATTTTTTAAGCGAGTAGTCAATAATTTAGTGTTTCAAGTCCATAAGTACCGAAAAATAGTTGTGAAAAGGTGTCAATTTTTAAATAAATATTAATAATTTAAAAAAATTAATTTTTAACTTCTTCCTTCTTGGTAAAAAAAATAAAATTAAAATGCTATAGAACATTTCAGATATTCCATATGTCAAATTCCAGGCTGGTTTCAATTTCTTCTGTTTTCCTTTTCTTGTAATACATGTCAGTAAAAAAAAATGTTTCGAAAGTGCATCTAGATCAATAATGCAAATGAACCATGAAAATTACAAACCATGCACAACCTAGATCTAGGGAGCAACAATCAATGGGCCTTCAAATATATTGTCCGCATATTGAGAAACATGTTGCATGGAAGCTAATAAATAATAATGCAGTTCCTCTATTTATTTGAACTAGGGCATGGAAACAATGGTTTGCACTTTGCACAATTCATAATTCGGATAATATTATCGATATTAACTTTTCTCATCATTTTTCTTTTCTATAATTTTCATACAGCATGAAATTTGCAAAGAGGTTTTATTATCTATGTCCATGTTTACTTTTTGAGAATTCTTTTTACTTTTTAATAAAAGTTACGTGCTTTAATACAATTTTATAGTTGAAATTAATTTTAATTACGTTTAATCATTTAAAATTAATTTTATTTAACTTTAAAAAATAACCATACGGTAAATATGTTTTTTTTGTAAATATCATCATTAGGTAGAGGCACCGTATCTAAATTGCATCAATCTTTTTTTTTTTCTTCCTTTTTTTTAAAAGTAAGAATTATAACAGTTTAAATCTAGAACTTTGTGTGCTACTATCTAAATGACATCGATCTAATTTGACTTTAAAAATTAAGAACACTGTTGAAACAGTTACTTTTACTCACATTTTATATTTATTTATTGAAAAACAACTGCTACCTAGATTGTCATTAATATATTTAAATTATTTAATATAGTCATTAATGAATCAGCCTAGTCTCTAAATAAAGAGAAGTACATTAGAAGGGTTCTAAATTTTCTTGATTTTGCCTTTGCTAAATCTTCCAAGGATGGAAAAATTTTATGTCCTTGTACTAAATGTGTCAATTGCAAGTGGCGCTCTCGAATGGATGTTTATGAGCACATAATATGTAATGGATTTATAAAAGGATATGTTACTTGGATCTTTCATGGTGAACAAGTTGGCTCTTCTAATTCTTTAGAAACATCTCAAGTAGAAGAAGAGTTTGATCATGATATGGATATGTTGATTCATAATGCATTCGAGATGCATGCAATTAATGAAAGTGATTATACAAATGTAAACATGGAGAATGGAGATTCTAGAACATTCATGAATGAACCCAATGTTCAACAATCCGAAGAAGGTAATAATTCAGATAAGCTTTATCAGTTATTAAAGGAGGCAGAAAAAAAACTTTATCCTGGTTGTAAAAAGTTCACAAAATTGTCATTCATTGTTCACTTGTATCACTTAAAGTGCCTAAATGGGTGGACTGACAAAAGCTTTACAATGTTGTTAGAGTTATTAAGTGATGCCTTACCAGAAGAAAACACTTTACCCAAATCATTTTATGATACAAAGAAGATTATTTCTGGGTTGGGTCTATCATATGAAAAAATTCATGCTTGTCCTAATGACTGTATATTGTATAGGAAGGATTTGGCTAATGCTGAAAATTGCCCAAAATGTAAGTTATCAAGATGGAAACACAACTCTGATGATGTTGAATGTAGAAAAAAGATACCAGCAAAGATTCTTC